GAAAGGCGGGCTGAGTTCTCTACCTGAGGAGCTACAATGTAGAAACCTTTTTCCCTCATCTCAAGAAGAAATGTTCACTTGAAAAATAAGACTGATTTCTTAAAACAATAATAACACTTGTTACACAGCTGACACGATTTATTGAAATAAGACAACTTATGCCCAATCTTTTTGGACAAGAAAATATGTTCGCGAACAGTATCTGAACGTATCCCATTGTCATAAGTATCTTGTGTTTTCATTGGTGAATTTTTGTTTGTTTTTTTGTTGTTTTATGCCGCATTCAGCAATCGTCCAGCTATATGACGGCGGTCTGTAAATAATCGAGTCTGGACCAGACAATCCAGTGATTAATATCATGAGCATCGATGACTTCGCATGACATGCATCAACCAAGTCAGCGAGCCTGACTACCCGATCCTATTAGTCGCCTTTTATGACAAGCATAGTCACCTTTTACAGTAAGCATGGGTTGCTGAAGACCTATTCTACCCAGGAATCATCACGGCTCCATTGGTGAATTAATTGATATTGACTCAGATTGTAGTTCTAAACTTGTTGAAAGTTAAAATCATTTTTCTTTCACTGCTTCCAGATTTCTCATTGTATAAGTTGGGGTAAAAATGGCTACGCTAATCTGAATTTGGCTTGTGACACATTGTTTAGCCCAGCTGGCAAGTGATCATTTTACACAGCATGGACACTCAGAATGTCCCTTTGTAAAGTTGGGTAGCATAGAACACATTACGCGAAACTGTTTCCCTGTGATCTACTTTATTTCCCTATCAATATGAAATTAGCTTCAATGGTCCTTTCATTATTACCAAAATATTAACAGTGATTGGTGCGTGGGCTAAATGTGATACGGACAAGGCAGCTTAATCTCCAGTTAAGCCACTTTCGTGGTCTTAAATCTAAAGAGATTTGTCATCTTCGTCATCATGGTCGTCTGCTTCTGTGGCTGTCGCACAATGTAGTACAGACTTGCTATGTATTCGAGCGTGTCAAAGCATCTCGCGACCAGATCAACAAGCGTTGATTAGCTTGGTATTTTTCCACAAGGTTTTGGAGATTAATTAGTCATGTTTTAATGGTCTGTATTGATGGAAATGGCAGATTTGGATGTGTCCTGTCAACATGATCAATAGATTTCTACGACACCATGTCCAGTGTGTTATTGATTGTTGTGGTCAGGCTATTGAAACTTGTCCTGGATCAGTGGCATTGGGCGTGGCAAAAATCATTATATCATTGAGGGGTGAAGTAGGGCTTCATGTTCAGAATCCATAATTAGGAATCACTTTACTGACTGGGTCAACTCTTGACTGATGCTACAGTAAACGGAAAACTCTGTTGATCAGTCATAATTGTGAGAGAGAGGGAGAGGAGAGAGAGAGAAAAAGAAAGAGATATTGAGACATATATAGAGAGAAATATGAAGAGAGAGAGCTGGAGAGAGGGAGGCTTCGATGTGATGCAGGTATCAGACGTTTTCCACTTCAGTGAAACCCAGGAGCACGGGTATGGTGCTGACAAACCTAGAAACATAATCATGACGAACCGGGATTCGGACCCGCAATCATAGGTTTCTAGGACGCAACTCTGCACAGCGTATCGCGACGCCTTATAGGACTGGGCCACCCGTGCCCCCTCTCTAACACAGACATGTTAGAGTGAGTGAGTTGGGTGAGTTAACGCCGCTTTTAACAGTATTCCAGTTATATCGCGACGTGTCAGCTTCATGTGGGAGGAAAGCCTGAAGTGACGCAGGTCTTAGACGTTTACCACTTCGGTGAAACCCACAAGCACGGGTATGGTGCTGAAAAACCTAGAAACATAATCGGGGCGAACCGGGATTCGAACCCACAATCATAGGTTTCTGGCGTGCCCAAGGGACTCTGCACATCGAATCACGGCGCCTTAGACGACTGGGTCACCCGTGCCCCCAGACATGTTAGAGAAGCGGTACAGTGTTGGGATGCATTTTGACTTAGATGATGTTGAGAAAAAAAGACAAATGTCCCATGACCTAATACTGTTCTAATTGGGTTCTTGAATCAGGATCAGATTTTGCAACACAGGCTGCACACCTTGCATCCATACCTGCCTTGAAGTGAGGAGTGAACGATGTAAGCAGAAGGCTGTCCACCCAATGACCCCTGTAGAAATAAATTGAAAAATGTTAAAAATAACATTTTTTTCAACAATATATCATCTTAATTGTCAAGGCACTTTATCATCAGAAACAGTTCGCTGGCAGACGTCCACATGCTGCATGCATCTCTCTACACAGTATGGAGCCAATCAACAGTTGAGAGTGATCTCCCTTGTTTCCACCTGTTAAACAGGTGCTGCATCGATTTGATCAGCTGCACATGTAATAAATCAGGGTGGTTTTATAAAGCTTGGTAACTGTAGACTGGAAAGTAATATTTCAAAATGCCCCTTCCCACTGCAATATCCCATTTAGTAAGAAAAGCTTGTTGTGGACTGGATCAATGGGACTTCTCAAAAACACAATATCTTGGAACATTATGACTGGAAAGTAATATTTAAGATGCCACCTTCTTGTGAAATTCACCAATACGATTTCAACCCTGAATAATTTCTCAAATTCTTTGATAAAAAGTCACTGTATGTTGTTGAGTATCCTTTTAGAGTTCATTGTCTTTAATCTGTGAACATGAAACATTAAATTGAGATCAGTCATTTTTTACCGTCTTTCAAAGAGAATAAATAAGCTGTTGGCTGTTCAGTGAAGTTAGAATGTTTCAAAAGAATACTTCCATGTGAAGTACATCTGATACTTTCAGTCAGCATTTAGCAAGAAGTGGCACAGGGATTATGGAAGATTCTATACCACAAGGGATCAAACTAAGAAGAAAATTGTCTTGAATAACTTTATATAAGTTGTTTGTGATGCTGATGTGAAATTTTCTCTTCTTTATAACATGTACAAGGGAATTATGCATGAATAATTAAAGCTTATCAACACCATTTGAACTTCCATTGAAGATGATTTTCTTTAAGTTTTAAGACCATTATCTACCGTATTCCCCTTGCAGAGTTGAGAAGGGCATGTTTTGGTAGATCTACTGATTATAAAAGCTGTCTGGGGGAAGCTGTAGGGCTTCGCGCAATGTTAGACAACAAACAAACACGCACTGTACCCATGAGGGAGGTCAGATTCAGGTCCTCGGGTGTCAAGCCAACACTTTATCCAGAGGGCTTCCCTCTAGCTGGAAATAAATCTACTCAAGATTGTTTTACTGTTTTCATTCAGTGGAAAAGAGGCAACTATTCAGTTAATGAAAAGTTCATTGATTTAATTGTAATTACATGTTTTATATTTTTATTATTTGAGAAAACACTAACATAAACACATCTTGTTGGCATTGTGAGGTACCATGCTACACTTTTTTTATGTGAAAATTTGAGGCAAGATGAAATTTCTTTCTTATATAATGTTATCTTTTGAAGTTGATCAGGTATGATGTTAACGGCTTTCAAAGAGACAAATATGTAAAGTCATCAACAGAAAATTCATGATCTCATTTTTATGATAAATCTGCTTGTTTATTTTTGCAAAATATGTTCAAGCAGACTTTAAAATGCGAATATTTTGAATTTAACTCAATCTGTTTTTATTAAATTGACTTTTTTTTCTGAATTTTCAATTTAAAGCAGGCTCATTTATCAAACATGAAGAACATGTTGTCACTTTGTATTTGTACAAACATTGATTTTATTGTGATAATTGCATGTCAAGATGGGCGATATGCCTCATAACCAGAGCAACACTTTGTTGAGCACATATTGTGTATTAATTTGCTTGGATGTACTTATAGCCATGTTTAGCATGGAAAAAACCCATGTAGCCATATTTCACCTATTTCAAAATTAACATTTAGCCATGATAAACCCTTGGGAAAATAGCATATAGCCATGTTAAAAAGAACCCGGGAGAAATAACATATCAACATGTTTAACCTTGAAGAAATAACATATAGCCATGTTTAACATTGGAGAAAATAACATATAGCCATGTTTAACCTTGGAGAAAATAACACATAGCCATGTTTAACCTTGGATAAATAACATATAGCCATGTTTAACCTTGGAGAAAATAACATATAGCCATGTTTAACCTTGGATAAATAACATATAGCCATGTTTAACCTTGGAGAAAATAACATATAGCCATGTTTAACCTTGGAGAAAATAACACATAGCCATGTTTAACCTTGGAGAAAATAACATATAGCCATGTTTAACATTGGAGAAAATAACATATAGCCATGTTTAACCTTGGAGAAAATAACATATAGCCATGTTTAACATTGGAGAAAATAACATATAGCCATGTTTAACCTTGGAGAAAATAACATATAGCCATGTTTAACATTGGAGAAAATAACATATAGCCATGTTTAACCTTGGAGAAAATAACATATAGCCATGTTTAACCTTGGATAAATAACATACAGCCATGTTTAACCTCAGAGAAAATAACATATAACCAAGTTTGACTCTTGGAGAATAACATATAGCCATGTTTAACCTTGGATAAATAACATATAGCCGTGTTTGACTTTTGGAAAATAACATGGAGCCCAGGAATGTCAAGTTAGTTTAGAGGCAGATATATTTAAGCTAACTGCTCCACAAATAGTAGTAATGGTGTGTCTCCCATGGAGCCGTTACTCCATTACCGCATCAATAACTACTACGAACATCCTACATTGCAGTCTCCCTGAGTCAATAGACTACTACTGCATCACGCTAATGACTCTCTGTTCTCATGGACGAGGTTAAATTCAACTGGGTGTGGTTAATGTACTATGCTCCGATGATGAAATTGACAAATGTACAATAACATGTACCATTTCATACAGTGCTATGACCTGTGGATGTTTACCACAGCAGAGGCGTCCAACAGTCCAACAGGCATGACAACTGCAGCTATGCTATCTGACAGGCTTTAATTACTGTGTTTTCAGGTAGCGATATCGAATGGCGATTCCAAGCCCTGAGAATGAGGAGGCTACTATATGAACTGCCCATCTTGATGCTAGTCATAGCATCAGCAGCTAAACCCACGGAAATCAACGAGCTCCCGGAGAGCACTGCTAGGCAGTCACCGCTGTGGTTTCCTGACACAGACAATAGGAGGGTGAATACCACGAAGGTTGTCTCGAGCAGCCAGTCGTCGGAGCATTTCTACAATTCCGTGATTGAAGCGTTGGAGAAGATTAATGTTTTGCCCCATTCGTGTATAAAATTCGACAAAATTACACGTGAAGTGTTGCATGTGGATGAAACGGCGAGTGTTCGCACCATTGGAGTTTATCTTTATTTCCAGGAGAGTTCCCAGTGGGGAGATAATTTAGATGATAGTGTGAAAAGTTCAAGAGAGTTATCTCCCAATTCAAATTTGGATAATTCACTTAAGGAGCAAAGTGGTTCCCAACATAAAGTGCGGTGTCATTCGGAATCTAAAGTTGTGATGATGGACGCCCATTCCCTTTTGAGGCAGCAGGATGTTGCGAACGCATCCCGCAGTGCATCGGGATCGGAGTATAATAACACTGTCACCAGCGTCATCGTTGGCGCCCATAGTAACAGCGACTCCGAAAACACAGAAGGAGCGATTACAGGTAAGAATCTAAAGTCCATTTAGAGGTACAGGTATCTTTGATAGAGTTTGTGGACAGATTCGAGCACTACATAAAATCAAGGGTCCATTACCAAATTTGGTATGTGAACAATTGCATCTTCAATTGTTTTGGTTGACTTGATTTGACTTTGTCTATGATAAGCAGTTTTTATCAAGATGTGATGTATTGCTCAGTGTTTCAGAACAACTGCTCTTCTTCATTGAGTGAAAAGAGACTTTAGTATGTGTCTCTGAGTGTTCATGGGCTTGCATGTTTTTATGATGGGAGCAACTGGTGGGGTAGAGTACGCTCACCTTTTTGCAAACAGCTGGTTTGATCACTATTTGATAGTGATTCCTGAACACATGCTCGCAATATAGTCAGAATCATAATCGACTCAAGCAGAGATTTCTTATGAATATGGAAATGGTTTTGTCGATTTTATTTGCATGGTATAACAACAATTATCTTCTTCATGTTCTCTTAAACTACTTTATCAATGTCATGACATTGTTACTTTGTTAACATGTTACCCTGCAGCACATTGTTACTGTTTACATTGTATATTGTTCACCTTTCACAATGTTGCCATGTTATTACACTGCATGAGACCCGTGAAGATGCAGGGTAGAATCGGTCTTCAGCAACCCATGCTTGCGGTAAAAGCCGACTAAGCTTGTCGTTAGAGGTGACTTACTGCATCGGGTAGTCAGACTCGCTGACTTGGTTAATGCATGTCATCGCTCTTAAATGCGTGGATCGATGCACATGATGTTAATCACTGGATTATTTACAGACGGCTGTCATATAGCTGGAATATTGCTGATTGCAGTGTTAACCAACCAAACCAACCAACCAAACCTGTGATTCATCCTCAGTTATCTCCTATCTCCATTCTATTATGACATATACCCTGCACACATTCACCACCATCGTTTTGCTCTGGAAGTGGCATCACCAGACATCCATCTTTCTTATCACTAACCAAGCACAGAATTTCCATCAGTTTGGAATCAACAACCAATCAAAATGCCTCCTCTGGATGCAAGTTTGACAACAATCTACTTTCGAAGTCCAACCTCATCCAAGCGACCCCTCGAGTGTTTGAACGAATCACAGGACTCACAAAAGATGTTTTCCTGAATACATAGGCAAGGGGAGGGATTCCCTACGCTATATGACTTTCCGGTTTTATGTTTAGCATGTGTAGCAGGGCGTGGAGTCATCCCACAGATGACATCCTTACCTTGTCAGATTGCTGATGGGGTTAACCTCTTTGGTCATGTGGACAAGGCGTCCGACCTCGGATCAGACGGTCCATGGTTCGAATCCCATCACGGACAGCTACACATGCAAATGTTGAGAGGAGTACTGGTGATACGGCTGTTTGTATTTTAGTCATGATATATATGATATACCGGGGTACACTGTAATTTGATTGGACAACTAATTTTAGCATTGTTCATTCAAACCGCCCCAAAATAAAGCAAGTCCAGGGTAAATTCGTCTAGGGTATTTAGCATAAATAATTAAATAGAATCGAGATGTATTACACTGGATAATCATGGATAAGTGTTACTTCGCATATTATTACCACATTGCTATCATGTGACTGCAAGACACATTGTTACCAAATTGAACATTGTTACCATGGTACATGGTACATTGTGACCACACTGCACTTTGTGTTCCCAGTTGCATATTTTGTTACTGTGTTTCCACTTGCACATTGTTCGCATTGCACTTTGTTTCCTAATGCACAATGTTACCAAATGTACATTGTTACCACATGAGACACTGTTACCAAATGTACATTGTTACCACATGAGACACTGTTACCAAATGTACATTGTTACCACATGAGACACTGTTACCAAATGTACATTGTTACCACATGAGACACTGTTACCCATCATCAAGACCACCAATTGCAGATTCGCTAATCTGTGGAGATTGTAATTCAGATATGTCCCATCAGGTCAACATGTCACTGTACCTACAGTGTTGCCTAATTATTAATTCCAAACCTAATGCATTGCATTTGTGGATCAGCTTATTGAAAGATCCACCTTAGATAGAGTTATTAGATAGTGACTGTGATTTGAGACAAGTTAAAGACCAGATATCTTGATCAGGCATTTACACATTCACATCAGCCTTGATATTTAGAGGGGTTTGTTTATTTTTTTCCACAACAACCCCCGAACCACCATCACCACCATTTAGGAAGTGAATCCTATTTAACCAAAAGAGTTCAATAAAGTCTTGGAAATAAGTCTCCATTTTATCATGACATCTCTGAAAGTTCAATTTCAATTTGGGATTTTGGGACCTTCCTACCACTGTCAGTTTTTTTTTACGACCCTCCCCAGATCTACTCTGCTTGAACGAAAATTATGTCAATTTTTATATAAGCCTTATTTTAAGCAAAATCTTGGCTGATACCCAATTATATATACCCCGGTAGTACATGACCCTATTTTTATTAAAATTTTATCAAATATCTAACAAAAATAATATTTACAGCATATTAATTTCGAAGGATTTTCTTTGAAAGTAATGTGAAAATATTTTGACACCAACCTGAAATTTGAGTAATGAAAGGAGCAGTACTTAGTTTTGGGGGCCATCATATTCAGCAGCATTATCATCACCTTCAAGTGTGTGGTTGATTGCGTTCTTGGTTGTTATCTCCATTTACACTCATGCTCCCCTGATGATAAAGTTCTGGAGCATCCTCCTCTGTAGCCCTCATATATCTGACCTCCTCTGTAGCCCTCATATACATGACCTCCTCTGTAGCCCTCATATACATGACCTCCTCTGTAGCCCTCATATACATGACCTCCTGTGTAGCCCTCATATACATGACCTCTGTAGCCCTCATATACATGACCTCTGTAGCCCTCATATACATGACCTCCTCTGTAGCCCTCATATACATGACCTCCTGTGTAGCCCTCATATACATGACCTCCTCTGTAGCCTCATATACATGACCTCCTCTGTAGCCCTCACATCCATGACCTCCTGTGTAGCCCTCATATACATGACCTCCTCTGTAGCCCTCATATACATGACCTCCTGTGTAGCCCTCATATACATGACCTCTGTAGCCCTCATATACATGACCTCTGTAGCCCTCATATACATGACCTCCTCTGTAGCCCTCATATACATGACCTCCTGTGTAGCCCTCATATACATGACCTCCTCTGTAGCCTCATATACATGACCTCCTCTGTAGCCCTCACATCCATGACCTCCTGTGTAGCCCTCATATACATGACCTCCTCTGTAGCCCTCATATACATGACCTCCTATGTAGCCGTCATATACATGGCCTCCTATGTAGCCCTCATATACATGACCTCTGTAGCCCTCATATACATGACCTCCTGTGTAGCCCTCATATACATGACCTCCTCTTTAACCCTCATATACATGACCACCTGTGTATCCCTCATATACATGACCTCCTTTGTAGCCCTCATATACATGACCTCCTGTGTAGCCCTCATATACATGACCTCCTCTGTAGCCCTCATATACATGACCTCCTCTATAGCCCTCATATACATGACCTCCTCTGTAGCCCTCTTATACATGACCTCCTGTGTAGCCCTCCTATACATGACCTCCTGTGTAGCCCTCCTATACATGACCTCCTGTGTAGCCCTCATATACATGACCTCCTCTGTAGCCCTCATATACATGACCTCCTCTGTACCCCTCATATACATGGCCTCCTATGTAGCCCTCATATACATGACCTCCTCTGTAGCCCTCATATACATGACCTCCTGTGTAGCCCTCATATACATGACCTCCTCTGTAGCCCTCCTATACATGACCTCCTGTGTAGCCCTCATATACATGACCTCCTCTGTAGCCCTCATATACATGACCTCCTCTGTAGCCCTCATATACATGACCTCCTGTGTAGCCCTCATGTACATGACCTCCTCTGTAGCCCTCATATACATGACCTACTGTGTTGCCCTCATATACATGACCTCCTGTGTAGCCCTCCTATACATGACCTCCTGTGTAGCCCTCATATACATGACCTCCTCTGTAGCCCTCATATACATGACCTCCTCTGTACCCCTCATATACATGGCCTCCTATGTAGCCCTCATATACATGACCTCCTCTGTAGCCCTCATACACATGACCTCCTGTGTAGCCCTCCTATACATGACCTCCTGCGTAGCCCTCCTATACATGACCTCCTGTGTAGCCCTCCTATACATGACCTCCTGTGTAGCCCTCATCTACATGACCTCCTCTGTAGCCCTCATATACATGACCTCCTGTGTAGCCGTCATATACATGGCCTCCTATGTAGCCGTCATATACATGACCTCCTGTGTAGCCGTCATATACATGGCCTCCTATGTAGCCGTCATATACATGACCTCCTATGTAGCCGTCATATACATGGCCTCCTATGTAGCCGTCATATACATGACCTCCTATGTAGCCGTCATATACATGGCCTCCTATGTAGCCCTCATATACATGACCTCTGTAGCCCTCATATACATGACCTCCTATGTAGCCGTCATATACATGGCCTCCTATGTAGCCCTCATATACATGACCTCTGTAGCCCTCATATACATGACCTCCTCTGTAGCCCTCATATACATGACCCCCTCTGTTGCCCTCATATACATGACCTCTGTAGCTCTCATATACATGACCTCCTATGTAGCCCTCATATACATGACCTTCTGTGTAGCCCTCATATACATGACCTCTGTAGCCCTCATATACATGACCTCCTGTGTAGCCCTAAAATACAGGACCTCCTGTGTAGCCATCATATACATGACCTCCTGTGTAGCCCTCATATACATGACCTCTGTAGCCCTCATGTACATGACCTCCTCTGTAGCCCTCATATACATGACCTACTGTGTAGCCCTCATATACATGACCTCCTTTGTAGCCCTCATATACATGACAACCTCTGTAGCCCTCATATACATGAC